CACATATTTCTTTTTATCAAAATCTACTAAAATCAATTTTTTTAGCTAAACTGGGCTAATTCATTTCATAACTCACCACCCAGTATTATAAAACATAATATTTGATAATTGCTTTGTGGAACCAGGGGCGAAGCCAGAATTTTTATCCAGTGTAGGCACAATTTTAGATATCGGCTACAGTAATTTTTTTAGTCCTTGCAGCTATGATTGTTGCGGCTTCTTCTCACTGTGGTTCCCACTTCCGCTGGTGGCAGTGTCATTCAAAGTAGCCGGAGGAGTCATCAATTATTAGAAATTCATGGTATAGGACCATAATTTCAGCAAGAATCATCCATAAGTAATAAAATAATAAGCCTCCAAAAATTTACAACAGGCAATATTAAAGTATAATGGTAAACATTTAAAATTTTAAAATTATAAACATGTTAACATTAAAAGGACAATAACAATAAACTTTTAAATTGAGCAAATATTGAGAAACAATATTAAAGTATATTAATGGTAAACATTTCACACTGTCGAATGAATTAAATCTCCATATTTCACAGTGACTATCACTATTAACGCCACCTTCCACTAATAATATTACCTAAATAAAATAATATACAAATGCAAACACCATGGAAGTGGACCAATTTAAAATTCAAATTCAATCCACAACACAAATGCAAAGACCATGGCAATGACCACTTTAAAATTCAAACCCAATCCATCCGACCAAAGTGGCCTGACACCCTGCAAGTCTGCAATTCCACTACTCTTTGACTGAAATCAAATTTTATATGAAATATACATACACAATACACACAATCTTCAAGCTATGAAGAAACCAAGAAGATGCCCCACTAGAAAACTGAAATTCCCAGATGAAAAGTTGATTGACGGAAATAAGAAGTAAATTCAAGCTGGAGGACCGAATCAACAAAAGCAGCCTTGAAATAGAGTGGAGAGAAAAGTGTTTTCAGCAGATCCAATCCTCTAGAAATTCCAGTGTGGGCACTGCCTTGCAGTCCCACGTGAGGTGAGGCGAATGCCTGCACTCGCCTCTGTGTGGCTCCACCCCTGTGTGGAACTGACCTTTTAATTATATATAGAGTTGGTCAGAGCCCTCTATCCCTTAGATAATTAATCCTTATTACTAAAATATTCAACTTTTGGCTTTGCATTTACAAAAATGGCACTTTTTAAAAGTTTTTTCAAGATTGTCAATTTTGAACATTTTTGCCCCTCTTATTCATTTTTATCTCTCTAATACGTTTCTTTGCAAAATTTCTCTTTTCTTTTTTTCTATGTTTCCTCTCTTGATTCTTTGAGAGCTATATGGAGTGCAAGTTCTTGCATTAGGATTCTGTTTATTACGTCAATACAGAAGGAAGAAGAATATCATATGTAAGGTTTCAAATATGAGTTTTTTTAGATTGCAAACTAGAAATAATGAACTCATGTCGGTTAGTGTTGCAAATGTTGTTTTTAAATAGATGGAGGACCCATAGAGCTTAAAGTGTCGTACCCGAACAACGAAAAAGTTCCCTCAACTTGTAGCATGACGGAGGCAGCCACCATACCCATCGAAAGTAACGATATTGTAAACACAAAGAACAATGATCAACACACATTCGATTTCCTGCAGCATCTACTAGTATTCTATACACCAAGGAGAGGAGAAAAATGATAAAAAAATAGTATGACCAAATTTGTCATACTGCATTAGACTTGATTTGTGTAATCAATGACCTTATTTTGCTTACCTCCAAGAATGTTGTTATAAACATGATTTAGTAGTTGCATCCACATGTGGTGACACATTTAATCATTTCTCGTTTCTCATACTCGTTGAATTGTTCAATTAGTACGAGAAAATTTGTTAAGTTATGTATTCTAATTTTGTCAGGGATAAATATAGTAACGTCTTTATCAAATGTTATGCAACAACTTACCCTTGTGCATCTTATTTGTAGTTACATTTTCTGCTTGCAACCAACTATCGAGAATGACAGAAACCTTCTGTCGTGACCGATAGTTTAACTGTCAGGATGTTATGCAATATTTGCAAATGATAATAAAATGCTAATAATAATGTAAGTTGAGAATGTGTTCGAGAATAGCATGTCCCTTATACACTTTTTGTAGTCAAATTTCATACTTCACAACCATCTGTCAAGAATGATAGAATCCTTCTGTCGAATGGTATGCAATTGTTGTCTATACAATTATTTTGCTTGTGAACTTAAACACGACTAATAAATGCAAATAATAATAAAATGATAATATAATTTTAGAATGTACAACGCTATTGGGGGAATATTCAAAATACAACTTCAACTATTTTTAAACATCAAGCCTATTTACATTAGTTGTGTTAGAATGGAGTTGGAACATGTGATTCGATTATGGTCAACTCTACCATAACGAGTGCATAGGTAATATTTGTTGGAACTAAAACGAAAGTGATTTTGTCCACTCTCCACTTCCATTCATCATCCACATAAACAAATTTTTGTCCATGAGCACGATAAATCTCAAATGATTATTAATACCTGAAAAGTTGATATTGCAACAGTAAAAACCCTGCACAATTAATATGTCGATATTTAATAGCATGAAAGTGATACTTTTGAATATTTAAATCCATTCAATGACAAAAGGTGAAATGAATGGTTGAATCCAAACAGTTAAATTATTTATCTCGACATTTCTAAATGTCGAGTTCGACAGTTCAACTGTCAAAACTGTCGAGAAGTTTCAGACATGTTTTGTACTTTGTTAGAAACATTAATGGTTATAATCAATTCTCAACTACAACAATTACATCATTACAATTTCTTTCAAAAAATAAATGACTGAATGCTTTATTAAACATGGAATGTAATACTTAGCATTTGCTTAAATCTTTTTGGGATTTCATTTTTATATCTTTTCCCTTCAAAAATATTTCAAAAATCAAGAGCATATGATTAATAAGAGTTTCAAAAGCATTCTTCATTTTGATGATCATATTTTTTTAATATTTAAAAAAGGGTAAGCTATTCGATAAAAATATAAACAATTCGTAATAACTAACATCTTAAAATGAACGATGAATCAAATAGTAATGTCTTCTTGATCAAGGATGAAAAAGATTGATGAAATGATGGTTTGTTGAAGAAGATATTTGTTTGATGTTAAAATAGGGTTTTTTACTTCTTTTATTTTTTTTTTAAAGTAAATTCATATTATACAATAGAATACACATATATCCAATGATTATAATATATAAATTTAATATATCCATAATTATAATATATAAATTTAACTAATCAAATCATAACATTAATTGGATTGGAAAGTTAGCATTAAATGTTCCTAAAAAGGGGGACATGAAGGGTAAGTTGGACATTTCCCACAAAAAAGTAACATTTTTTTTTTTTTAAATTAGGTGCACATGCAAATTTTTTGTACATTTTAAAAAAAGTGACATTTTTTTATAATTCTCCTTAATCTTTTATACGCTCAAGGCTGTGTGTGTGTGTTCTCGATATAGACTTCATGATATTTAGTAGACATCAGACTAAGGTACAATACAACCATGACAAAAAATTATATCTAGAAATTCAGGAGATGGGACACAACTATTTCATTCCAAAATGGTACGAGTTTCCTGATATTATTTGGGATTCTCATCAGAACCATAACTAATCTCCCCACACTAAATTTGATAAAAATAAAAAATTGACCAATATTTCTGATTGTATTGGATCTAAATTATTAGTAGTCTAAAAAGAATCAATGCCAAGAGTTATCCTCATCTTGGAATAGCAAAACTTCTACACAAATATACATAGAGAGGGAGGGAGGGATTTGAGGGTTACTTTTCGCTGAAATAAGCTACCGGAGCGAGGATTGAGAAGCAATGATATCCCGATACAAACAGAAAACAAGCTGATTCATCCTCACGTTGAGTGCAACTTTGGAGATAACATGGTAACCTCCATTGAACACCTGCACTATCGCCGTCGCCATATGGGATCTTCCCATCATTTGAAATCGCCGCCATATTCCGCTCTCACCCTCCTCAAAGAAAGAATAGGTTGCCGTTGGGACGGCGGATTCTTCTTGTTTGAATTGATAGTCGATTTGAAGCGGTAGTATAAAATTAAGAAAAATGATTGGTGTACATAATTTTTTTTTTTTTTT